GCAGGAATGGCAATTGGTACAGCCACGGTGGAAAACAGTATGAAGGTTCCTCCAAAAATTAAAAATAGACCTACCATATGATCCAGCAATTCATTCCTGGGTATATATCCAAAGAAAATGAAAACACTAATTCAAAAAGATATGTGCACCCCAATGTTCATAGCAGCATTATTGAGAATAACCAAGGTATGGAAGCACCTAAGTGTCCATCAACAGATGAATGAAGAGGTGTCATATATGTACAGAGAGAGAGAGATGATATAATGGAATATTACTCATAAAAAAAGAATGAAAATCTTTCCATCTGCAACAACATAGATGGACCTGTAGGGTATTATGCTTAGTGAAATAAGTCAGACAGAGAAAGACAAATGCTGTATGTTTCCACTTATACGTGGAATTTAAAATAAAGCAAACAGAGGAATACAACAAAACAGAAACAGACTCACAGACACAGAGAATAAACTAGCGTTTACCATTGGGGAGGGGGTGGGGAAAGGGGCAAGATGGGGAAGGGGATTAAGAGGTACAAACTACTGGGTATAAAATAACTAAGATACACCAATGTAATGCACAGCACAGGGAATATAGTTCATTAATATTTTATATTAACTTTATATGGAGCATAAGTATAAAAATGTAGAATGACTATGTTGTATACCCGAAAGTAATATAATATTGTAACCCAATTATACTTCAGTAAAAAATAAGTAAATAAATAAGTCTAAATATAATCTGTGTGCTGGAGAGACTGGGATGCTCCCCTCTAACTCCTGATGTTCTGGCCCTCAAACCTGAGGCTTTTTGAAGTAAAATACCCACTCAAGCATTATTTAATACAATTAAACATTCTGTGGTCAAGTTTGCCTGATCACACGAGTGCCTGAACACGAGAGCACAGTCTCTTCTCAGTCTACTCCAGCCTCATTTCCACCTAATCCCCTCCCCAGTCAGCCCCTCCACAAACAGCAGATTTAAGGGCCTTTTCCAACCCACCTTGTGCGTTCATTCCTAGGACCATTCATCCCACCACACACTTCTGCCTGAGTCCTGTCTGTGCTTGAACGTCCATTTCAAATTCTACCTCTTCATGACACCCACCTGGTTCCTACAGGTAACTGTGTTCTCCCCCTATTGGCACCAAGAACGAAGCAAAAGCAAAGGGAGAGGTTGGCTGAATAACCTGTCTCTGGCCAAAGGACTCAGCTGGCAGGTTTGCCTAGAACTCAAGCCAAAGCTGTCGGTGTTTCTGCAGTAACTCTCCTGCCACCACCCCCCCCACACCGTTGCACCCCATCCAAAGCTTTCTGTAAAGTTTACCCCAGGGGTAAATCACATAATATGATTAGTTATTTTGTGTCTAGAAATCAACAAACTCCCATAATTGACACCAGAGCAGAAATGAAGAAAGGCCCTCCCCCCAACCCCCGTCACCGCCCCCCTCCAAAGCTTCTGTAAAGTTTACCCCAGGGCTAAATCACATAATGTGATTCGTTATTTTGTGTCTAGAAATCAACAAACTTCCTTAATTGACACCAGAGCAGCCCACAGAGCCCAGTTTGGGGTAGGGAGCAGATGTTCAAGTGATCATATAGAGCAAGGGTTAAGGACCAAGTCCACAACCTTAGCTGTCTCTTGCACTATTGTGGATAGTGCTAAGGAGAGTGGAGGTTTTAGGAGGGTTCAGCTCAGATATATACAGAATTTTCACTTTGTAACTTGTTCTGAGGTTCGCTTCCCTTATAAGTCCCCAGGAATATCTCTTGCATTTGCTGCATATGCATTTGGGGAGTGTTCATTGCCTCCTGCAGCAGTCCTAGCAGAAGGACTAAGGGAGTAGAGGGAAGGAGAGAGAATTCAGTCTCAAAGAAGAGCGTGTGCGCTCCAGAGCTGGAGAAGATGCTTACCAGTTCTTCTGAACTTACTGTGTTTGGCACTCAGAACATCCTTACAAACCTAGGGGCACATGAAGTTACCGTTTCTAGACCCTGCCCCGCTTTCACATACTTACTAGAAAGCAGCTGCTCACTCAGCCAGCTTCACACAGGCAGAGCTCTTCCTGTTCCCCAAAGGTCCTGCTCCAGGCTGGTTCCTTTTCCCTTGTGCTCACTGTTCCTGCAGGATTGGTGACAGGCTCTAACGCTGGCTCCAAGAAGCTCCTGACCTACCGCCTGCCCTTGGACTGTGGGTGCAGTGGGCCGTTTCCTCCCCACACATGGAGGAAGTCTCTGTGCCTCTCCGACCTCAGAGCTCAGGAAGCTCAGGGAGGTGGGGCCAGTGGTGATGACTTAAAGAGACAGAAACATTGGCCAGTGAGGTGGTGGGTGTGCAATGTTGTCACTGCGAATCCCACCCCCTGCTTTGGGCTATGGTACTGTTTTCCAGAGGTTCCTGTGACACCAGCATCTTGTCCCTGGCAGGGTCTATAACCTCATCGGGGAAGAGCATTTTAGGTTTCTGAGGACTCGTTTTGTTTCTGACCTTTGACCAGCAATCTTATCTCCAGTTGTCTTTTGCTTTTTAGGCATTTTTTAAAAATAAAATAAAATGGCCTCTTGAGGGTCTCCTTTCCCAGGACAGGAATTTGAGAGGAATCTCTGAGTGAACCTCACAGTGGACAATGCCACCAAAGTG